TGCCATATTTATCATTTTGCAATTGAATCTCATTCAAATAGCCGTTCCTTCACCGCCCACTGCGCCATTGGAGGCGCGAGTACTTGCCGCCAATGCACACATATTCGAATGGGGTATACCCGAGTCAGATGGTGGTGCGCCACTGCTCGGCTATCACATTGCAATACGTGACATGAAGAAAACGATGTGGATCGAAGTGGGCCGTGTACCGGCCGGTGTGCAAAGATTCCAGATACGCGACCTACAAGAGAATCATGAATATATGATACGCATATTTGCAAAGAACGAGATCGGTCTTAGTGAACCACTCGAATCTGAGGAGCCATATAAGGCTATGACAGCAGGTAAGATGCACTAATCAATTGTGCATGCTGCGAGAAAGCTGTTAAAAAGGAAAGCATAACTTACACATGTATTTCTATTTCTCTTTCCCTCACATTTCAAAGGACACTTGAGTTTGCCCGACGAACCGCGTACAGAAATGAGTAGTTGCAATACATCGTCCTGGTTGCGTGATCACAATATGGACGCGGATATTCATTCGTATGCTCGTGGTAAACTGCTGCGTCGAGACGAATACTTCTTCCGCATTTGGGCGAAATTGCCAAAAAGCAAAAAGAAGAAATCATCAAAATAATACTAGTTTGCTATGTGTACAATAGATGTTATGTTAGGCCGCAAATATTGTTGTAAAAAAATCACAAAGAAAAACAAAGCTATGAGCGAATAGCTTCGAAACTACTAATTTTACTAAAATACTTATTGATAATTTTCATATTTATACAACGTACGTTCATTTAAATATTAATTGCATAGTTTTGGAAGCCCTTATTTTTTTATTAATTTTTATTTTTTTTTTTTTGTTAATAATACATTCAACGATTCTAATCTAATTGTAATGTGTTGATTATGCAACGCCGTTTAAAGTGCGTTGCCACATAATAACCATAAACCATTTCCTTCTTCAAATTGGTTATTTTTCACATACATAGGTTTAAAAATGCGAGCGAAGAAAATTTTTGTAACCAACGTCTTGTGAAAAATATCAATGAAGGAATGAAATATGGAAAAAGATGAATATTGATTACAGAAGACATGAAATAATCTCATTAATTAAAATTTGAAACATTTTAAAAATTAAATCTCGAAGTTCATAATATGTATAAAATTTAGTTTTGTTTATTATTTATTAAAACTGTGATAAATGTCAAAGAAAACATAAAAAAAATGTCGCAAAATTTTTGAAATTACTACGAAAAAAAAACAAATGAATTGTAAATACAATAAATAATACTTGGTGCGATTAAGCTATTATTTATTGTATATTCCTCTTAGAAGTTAAGGTGAAATTAAGCATTTCCTTTTTGGGAGACTTTTAAATGCAAATATAGGTGCGAGCATTTTAAAGGAAATCACTTAATTTCTCCTTCACTTCATGACTGTAAAAATCTCAAATTTACTTTTTTTATACGAACAAAAAATGAGTCTATGCATGTGCATGCATAGTTACTATGCGCATTGCGATATGCAAATACATTTATACATATGTATATGATTGTTCTGAATGCATAAATAAAAAAAAAATTAAATTTAGTTACAAAAATGTTTTATTTTCTTTACGTAAGACTGATGATCAGGACCGAAGAAAGAAGCCATACTAAGCGCTTAAATAAGCACTAAAACATTAATAAATATGTTCGAAGAACAACAAAAAATTTATGTAAGTACACTTTAATGTTTTGTTTTTTATTCACAAACACCTGACTGTGATAGGGGTAAATGACAACTCCATTTGCCAATCCTTCTTTGAAGAGGATGAGACGGTGGAACACTTCTTGAGCTTCTTGCTTGCTTGTTTGTTTGTCATCGATTTATCCAGATTTGATCTTTTGTTTTTTGTCAGTTTCTGAATTTGAAGTTTGGCTTAAAAAACCTTGGCAGTTTTGTTGTTTCAAGCATGATAAAAATATAGTAAGGTAGAACCGCTGAGAGTCACTTTTAAGATTCTTGACGTTTCCAAACAATTTAATTTTTAAATTTACTCACAAACTCACACACACATTTTCATTTTCAATCTTAAGCAACAACAATTTCGAACAATTTCAATTTTTTATTTTCACTTTTATATGATTTTAAAATGTTGGCAAACTTCAAAAAAAAAATCATGGCCGACAAATTGAGAGAACGGTTATACCTTGCTATGTTTTTATCATGGTTTCAAGTTTTATATTTTAAAAATGCGGGTGACGAATATCTTTCGCATCACTTTAAAATACGGAGCGATAAAAATAAAAATGATGCCATCAACCAAAATAAACTATTTAACAAATACATCACATACAAATTCACGAGTGAGCCGAACATGTGAAGAGTTTATTTATTGCTCCTCAAAGCGAGATAGTTCTTCGTGGTTTTACGGGCTCTATTTTTTGAAACTTGCAAGTATGTAATCACATTATTTTAATAAGTAGAACACAAGAAAATATTATATGTAATAAAATAATTATTTTTATAATAATTATTTTTATTTTTATTTTGTCCGAATTTAGTTTTGGAACTCTTCCGCGGTGCAAATTTACATCGTTAGATTTAATCTGCACATTTTTTGATGAGCTTTGAGAATACCAGTAAAGTCTTGAAAGAAGTCTACGAGAAAAATAAGTTTGGGATTCTATCTGGTTCTATCATACAAACTTTCGATGTACATATGTATGTATACTTAGAAGATACAAACGTAAAGACAAAGTAATAAGCAATTGAAGTATAAATTTAATTATTAGATTACCGTTCAATCCATTTTCGCTCATTGTCGACTACAGCCAGTTTTTATACTTCTTAAATGGAATTACTTTGAAGTTAGCGAGAATAACTTGAAACAGAACCGGATAATCCACATATTCACATTTTTAATTATGAAAATTTACAAATTATTTTGTTAGCAATGAGTGTATGATTTTATATATAGTATATACATAGGAAACAACTTGAAAGTTAGGGGGAGCCGAAATTATCGGGATGGCATTTCCTGGTATTATTTTTGAATATGGGTATTTCCATATGTCGCATACGTGACAGTCGTAAATTTCAATGTGATACAAACAAGGAATACCATTTGTTTTCTTTAACTTTTTTGGGCCATTGTATAGCACATAATTAGCTCTATATTTAACCGAAAAATGAAAACAATCGAACTGCTTGGTTCTGAAATATAAGCATTTAAAGAGAGTGTCGTTACGTGACAAAAAATGGAAGTAGATTTTTTCTTTTCTTACAAAATCGCAAATCTGCGAATTGTGGATGGATATTTTCATGAAACTTATTTTAATATGATTTGGAGCAACTCTAGTTGTTTTTAGTGAATTAAGGCAGCTTGTTTCAATTTTCTTTTACAACCCCAAGTGTAAATTTCCATCGTTATATTTTTGTTAATATTGCTTTTAAATGAATTTTTAACGCAAATAAAACATGTACTTTATGTAGAATATACTTTATATTTTGACTTCAGAGCCAATTCAGGGTGAATTTGTTGGAAATCAATGACTTATTATGTTTCAACTACATACGCCAAATTCGAACCAAATCGGACCATAAATACAGTTTTAAGATTTTCTTTTATGACGAGGTGATTTATTTTATGAGAGTCAACAATGAAGTCTCTACGATGAACTGAACCCGAGATATAACAATTTGAAGAAGTGCATGATAACTTACCCAGCATAACGAAAAAAAACTAAATCCGACAGATCATATATTTAATATATATTAAGATTAGGAGTGTTAGAGCTGTAATATATTATTTCATTATTTGTAGGGTTGCATTTTATAATTCTTGTATGCCATTATAGTGTTTGAATGTCGTGTTATTTTAATTTTGTAGTAATTTAAATTATATTCCACGATCCCGAGGGCTTAATCCCGGGATTTGAGGACCCCAAAAAGGGCTCGTCCTTAAATTGGAGCGCTAAGCGTCGCGTTTTGCATTGTCAACAAGTGTCAGCGCGCACTATCCCCCACAATATAACCAGTGTTGCCAGAACTTTTTGGGCCGACCGGCTAGATTGGCAAAAAAAAGCGGCTAAAAACGGCTAAAATGTTTTAGTGAAAATCCACATGCTTTATTTAAATAAATCGCAAGAAACGAAAGACTAGTTAACACCATTAACTTATATCGAGTGTATATTCCTCATCATCAAATAAATCACTATTGTATATATCACCTGAATTCATTAATTTTAAGAGATCGTCATCTACAGTAAAATTATGGCAGCATTTTTCTTCACGTTTTAAACCGTATCTTATATATAAAATAGCGTTTAACGTTTTAACGCACATTGGATTTCTTTGCTTAGTTTTTATTATATTCATTGAACTAAATATTCGCTCTACTTCTGCATTACTTATAGGCAAAACAAGAAAACTAAAAACTAGGTTGCAAAGGTCAGCAAAAGGGTTTTCTCCTAAGGCATTTCGAAATTGATAAACTTTGGCCCAAAATTTTACAGTTGAGTCTAAATTACTCCAGGTATGTAACGTTAACCGTTGCCATTGCATCTATGGATGTTATTTCGTCGGCATTATATTTGTGTTTTTGTTGCTGTAGTTGGACAAATACTTTTGGTTTAATTACTCTTAATGCATTTCCAACCGAAAAAAGTCAATTTTTTTTAGTGTGGCAATATTTGTAGGGAGGCGTTGGCGTAATTCCTTTATTAAAGTGATAATAAAATAGCGACCATTTTCTCGAATTATTTTCTCGGCTTCGTGGTCAAAAGCGTTTGTGCTTACTTTTGTTTTTAAATACTCTTCAAAACTGTGATAAAACTGAGGAAATGGAGCAAGGTATGGTTCCAACGGGGAGCATATAGGATCAAATGTGTCCGCGCTAATAACCACTAGGGATCATAGATGCGAAAGTAAAACATTGGACTTTAAAGTTAGTTGCAGCTTTTTTGACAGATATCCCATTGAAAATTATGTCAAAAAGCTGCAACTAACTTTAAAGTCGACTTTATTTTGACTATGACTACGGGCCATTGAATTCATTAAAAATCTTCATTGGGTCTGCATTATTGCTTTCGAACAACTTGTTTACTTTTTGCACCTGAAAATTAGGCAAATAGTAAAATCGGCTAAAAACGGCTAACTTTTTTTTACAAACCGGCTAACAAATCGGCTGCCGGCTAGATCGAATTTTCTCCGGCTAGTTGCTATCATAACCGGCTAAATCTAACCGGAAAACGGCTAAAATGGCAACGCTGAATATAACCAGTAAACAACCTTCGGTGAATTTGGCGGCTGCCTTCCTCGGGGATGAATATGCTAGGGATGAAATTATTGGTACACGCGCCTTCCAAGCACGCAGGGTTGCTTTTAACAAACAAAAAATAATTACCTTCAAATAGTTTCAAAAAGTATAGTGTAAAACGAAATTTATTGAATAATTCCACATAAAATGGTATACATCATGGAACTTTTCTACTAATTGACATGAAATTACTATCTCAACGCTCGGAGCGATGCCACTGAGGGCTTTTGCCAACTGATAAAAAAGAGAAAATTTGGAAATACCAAACAAAAATTTTGAGATTTCTCCTTGTGAATAAGAATGCCATAGTTTTTACCTAGCTCGTGTGACTACGCAAAATTTTGACAGCTTGTAAATATGTATACACATAAAGTTGTTGGCGGTAATAGAGTCAAAATCAAAATGGAGAAAAGAACAAAAAGCGTACGTTAGTTGTCGGTTATAAAATAAATCCAATTTATTTGCGAATATTTGTTTATTGTATTTATTGAAAGGCAACTACGCGAAAAGCTTGTGTTGATTATATTGATAACAGAACCTGGCAGCTCGCACGTTGTCTAAATTCTCAAGTAACATAAAATCCACAAAAGAATACATTGCTTGTATTACCATCAATACGCCATGTATAAATTTTAACAGGACACAAAAATAGAGCTTTCGCACGAGCGTTTGTTTGGTTTTTCAACACCATTTATAATTTTCTTTTAATAAAATCACGATTTGTCAAATGCTTAAATTTATTTATCTAATAATAATGCAGCACACAACCCTGATATCTAAGAAAAAGTCTGAGGAAGGCCATTAAATAGCAGCACACAACCCCGTGCCTTCCTCAGGAGTGAATATAACTACAACAACAACGGCTACTACAACAACAACCCAAAAAGGTTGGTTACTGTCTATACTGTGCTATCCCCAAATCAATCGTAATGTATGACGTTTTCTCATTTCCGGTCGTTTTTATTCTTGTGTCTACTTCAATTGTTTTACTGCCGTCAATGAATTGGAGCGCTAATGGGGCTTTCGCACGCGGTGATTTTTCAGGCAACTTT